AGAGAGAGAGAGAGAGAGAGAGAGAGAGAGAGAGAAAGAGAGAAAGAGAGAGAGAGAGAGAGAGAGAGAGAGGGGGGAGAGAGGGAGAGAGAGGGAGAGAGAGAGAGAGCGAAAGAAAGGAAGAGCGAGAGAGCCTGACAGATAGAAAGAGAAGGGGGCGCTGCCACACGCAGTAAATGTTTATATCATTTTTATTGACTGTTATTATTAACTTGTTTTCTGTGTCACCTCCCCCCTCCTCTTCCCACCTCCTCCTCCTATCCCCTCCTCCCACCTTCTCCTCCCACCTTCTCCTCCCTCCCCCTCCTCTTCCCTCCTCCTCCACCCCCCCCCCCCCCGTGAGAGCGAGGCAGCAGTAGATACTACTACTAGCCGCGGGCAGGCACTCAGCTGGCTGCGTCAGAGCCAGCACCGCCAACAGTCTGCTCAGCGTTGTTTACATACATCGCCATTAACACCATCACCGCTACACGGCAGCAGCAGCAGCAGAAGTAGCAGTAGTAACGGCAGCAGCAGCATCATCATCATCATCATCATCAGTAGCAGCAGCAGCAGTAGCAGCTGCAGTAGTAGTAGTAATAGTAGCAGTAGCAGTAGCAATCTATATAGCGCATAAATGCCATATATATGTATATGTATATGTATATATATAGATATATAGATATATATATATATATATATATATAATATATTGATTTGCGTGGGAGAAGAGAGGGGGAGCCACGTGCGCTCAGCAGCGTCTGAATGGTTGCTCCCGCGCGCTCATAAGTTGCCGTCAGCTGCTCGTCTGCCGCATGCCTGCCTGCCTGCACGCACGCACGACGTCAGCGTGAAGGGCTTCACTGAAGCCATACGTAGCGCGGGATGCGAGGATAGAAGCACGCGAGAAGCTGCTGCTGCTGAGATAGACGCGCATGAAGCTCTTGTCGCTACACGGGGTTCCTCTTTGTGACGAAGGTTTCTCTTTGTGGAGGAGGTTTCTCCTCTTTGGGATGGAGGTTCCTCTTGTGACGAAGGTCCCTTCTCCTTGTGACGAAAGTTCTTCTTTGTGACTGGGGTTTCTTCTCCTTGTGACTGAGATTCCTCCTTGTGGCAGCGGTTTCTTCTCTCGGTGTTTCGGAGTGGTTCTTCTCCGTCGCGCGGAAGCTGTGCCTCGGTTTTATCAGCGAGTAGCGAAGGAGGAGCCGGGGAAGCAGGAGCACGAGAAGAAGTAGGAGGAGGAGGAGAAGCAAGGGAAGTAGCAAGTGCAGCGGAAGTAGGAGGAGGTAGAGGAACAGGGAGAGGAGGAGCAGGAGGAGGAAAAAAGGAAGAAGCAGCGGGAGGAGGAAAAGAAGTACGAGTAGGAGCAGCAGCAGCAGGAGGAGGCGGCAGTGTGTGTGTGTGTGTGTGTGTGTGTGTGTGTGTGTGTGTGTGTGTGTGTGTGTGTGTGTGTGTGTGTGTGTGTGTGTGT